CGGGCTCAGGCAGTCCACTCACCTCAGCCTCCCAAGGCACGGGATTACAGGCTGAGCCACGGAGCCCGGCTGAAACAAAGTTTACTGTTTCTGATTGAAGCTTGAACTGGGCAAGAAAGGGCGTCTTGAGTTTGGTCTCTTGTGCTGGAAGGTGTGAGAGAACAGGTACTGAACTAGGTCGCCCAGCAATTTGAACCTCCATCAGAGGTAGACTACAGGGCCTGTGGAAAGCGAGGGCAGATCCTATAGGAGGCAATGAGTTGGAGCAGATTAGAGAGGAGGTTAGGTTCACTTTCTCCCAGATGTGCGTGGTTGGGACCCTCAGATAGGCAGCCTGGTAATAAGCACTCAAAGAACTCCTACTCCACACCATGCAGTGCTAGGCACCACAGGGGACTGAAGGAAGACAAAGGAAATAGAAGCCAAAGCATGGAGTGTAATTGGGGGGACAAGACACATGCATAAGGAGCTGTGAACTATTGCCAGGCAAAGACTCTGCAAATAACAATGATAAGGCACAGCACAAACCGAAGGGCTGTGCTGTGTGCAAGAAAGGAGTGACCAGAAGGAGGGCAGCTTTGTGCCATCTGTGGGAGAAGGGATTGAGGTGGGAGGGGTGGCATAACATTTCTCAGTGCTTATTGTGGGCCATGCACTGTCCACATATTACCCAATTCTCTCAATTCTCCTATTTGAGAGATGAGAAAACAGAGCCCTGGCCAGGCTCGTGAGACTCCAAATCCCTGTTCATTTCACCATGCCCCACTTTCCAGCCCCTTCAATTGGCTGGAGGCACTTCTAGGATGTATAGACCAGAGCCTGAGTATCCCCCTTTCCCAACCCTACACTAAGTGGGAGCTGCTGCACGGGAAGCTGACAGAGGTTCTCTGGCCCCAGGGGTGACCCAGAGCACCGTGTATTCCTGTGAAGCTCACAACCTAAAAGGCCTGGCCTCTTCACGCCCAGCCACTGTTCACCTTCAAGGTAGGAGGAAGGGTAGGTGGGGTATGTGGAGGCCTGGGGCATTCTAAGAGAACTATCCAGCAGCTAGAATTGTTGGTGTTCCAGCTCCCCTTAGTCCTGCAGTCCTGCTGGGATCGTGGAGACAAGGGGTTAATTGGCATAGCTCCCATTCCTAGTGGGAGCACCTGAGACCCTGTGTGGCTGAGCTGAGAATAGAATCCTGACGTCACAGCAGATTTCCCATCACGAAGCAGAGTCCTTGGGTGGGAGGGAGCCTGCAGGAGATGGTCAAGGCTCATTCCAGCCTTGTTTCTGCCACTCCCTGTGAGGGAGTGGGGGTAAGGATGGGGAAAGCAGAAGAGAGAGGAGACCCAGAGGGCTGGTGCAGAGAGGGAAGGCGGGAGAGAGGGAGGGGGTGTCTGCAGGAGCCTGGCTGTAGCTGCAGGGGCAGCTGCTTATCTCTCCTTTGTATCTCCCAAGCCTGATTCAGAGAGGCAACCTTCCCACAGCCTAGGCAGTCTCCCAGCTATTAGCAGTTGTGCCCTGCTGGTTGGTTGGTTGTGTACCAGTGTGGACCTGAAAATGCTGAGTAGCCTTCTTTAGGTTGGGGGTGCCCCAGATCCTAGGGAGGGACTCAGGGCTTGACTCCCATGCCTCCTGCTCCCTGATCTAATAACCTATTGAGCACTGACTCTAAGTCCCCATCCACAGCACTGCCTGCAGCCCCCTTCAACATCACCGTTTCGAAGCTCTCCAGCAGCAATGCTAGCGTGACCTGGATGCCGGGTGCTGACGGCCGAGCCCTGCTCCAATCCTGTACAGTTCAGGTAGGCTAAGATGGGCTGGGCATGCTTTCCTGGCTGGTGCTTTGTTGACAGTGGTATCACACTTACTAGACCTGTTGGGGAGGCTTGGTTTCCAGCTCCATTCAGGTGCTACTCCTTAACAGGAGGAGCCCAGGCCACTGTCTCTTATCATGGGGTGCTCTGTCAGTTAAGTGATGCAAATTGACTCAAACCCTTACATTCTTCAGAATAGAAAGCAGATCACTAGAACAGATTTGGGGTAAATGGAAGAGTTTTTCTTATGTGAGGGTAAACCCAAACCTTTTTTTTTTTTTTTTTTTGGAGTTGGGGTCTTAGTCCCTCAGGCTGGAGTGCAATGAGATGATCACAGCTCACCACAGCCTCGATTTCCTGGGCTCAGGTGATCCTTCCATCTCAGCCTCCCAAGTAGTTGGAAATTAGGTCTTGTGCCACCATGTCTGGCTTAATTTTTTAATTTTTTTGTACAGATGAAGTCTTGCTATGTTGCCCAGGCTGTTCTTGGATTCTTGGGTTCAAGTGATCCTCCTACCTTGGCTTTCCAAAGGGATTACAGGTGTGAGTCACTATACTGGGCCCCAAGCCTTTGATTTATCTGAAACTCACACTCTCACAACTCGCTCAACCCAAGCCAAGGGGAGCAAGAAGACCATAATGAGTCCTAAGCCCTGCAAAGTAGAAAAGCTGGGTAAGATGATACTAAAAACAAGACACAATGCAGGCTTGCTCATTTTCATGTTTATTCCAAAGATACTTAAGGTGCATCTTTCAAAACTTGTAGCCAGACCAGGCTTGGTGGCTCAGCCTGTAATACCAGCACTTTGGGAGACCGAGACAAGTGGACTGCCTGAGCCTGCAGGTTTGAGACCAGCCCAGACAACTTGGCAAGACCTCGTCTCTACAATAAATAAAAAAATTAGCTGGGTGTGGTGGCTCGCGCCTGTAGTTCCAGCTAATTGGAAGGCTGAGGCAGAAGGGTCACTGGAGCCCAGCAGATCGATGCTGGGGTGGCCATTAGTGTGCCTGGGCGACTGAGTGAGACTCTGACTCAAAACAAAAAACAAAACTTGTGGCCAGGCTCTGTGGCACAAGTCTGTAATCCAAGAATTTTGGGAGGTTGAGGCAGGAGGATTGCATGAACTCAGGAGTTGACATCAGCCTGGGCAACATAGCAAGACTTCATCTCTACAAAAACTTAAAAAATAATTAGCCAGGCCGGGTTCGGTGGCTCAGCCTGTAATCCCAGCACTTTGAGAGGCCGAGGTGAGTGGATTACCTGAGGCCGTGGGTTTGAGACCATCCCAGGCAACCAGATGAGACCTCATGAGACCTCGTCTCTACAATAAAATAAAAAATAGCTGGGTGTGGAAGCACACGTCTGTAATTCTGGCTACTTAGAAGGCTGAGGTGGAAGGATCCTGGAGCCCAGAAGGTCGATGCTGGGGTGGCCATGAGCATGACACCGCACCCCAGCCTAGGCGAAGGAGTGAGACTCCAACTCAAAATAATAATAGCCGGGCTCGGTGGCTCAGCCTGTAATCCCGCACCTTTGGGAAGCTGAGGTGAGTGGATTGCCTGAGCCCGCGGGTTCAAGACCTG